GGGAGAATTTTTTGATGGGAAAGAAAAAAAAAATGTAGTTGTGGTAAGCTCAGCTCCACTGCACTGCTCCTCTTGTTCCCCCCTGAACTATTCATTGAATCTTGCCAAAGAGATGGCACGCGTGTACCTCTTAGATTATTCCGTCTCTTTGCTTCTCTCAAATGTTCTCTAAACCATTGAATTTTCGATACTCTCAAATCCATATGCGATGCCTGGATAATATTGGGACGGATAATTTATTGAGTGCGGCTTAACCGTAATGCTCGGTTCACAGTGTAAGGATTCTTACATAATATTTTTGGCATGTAAAAGACTTGAGAAAGTGAAAGAAGCACTTTGACGGAATATATATAATTCCTATAGCCATTAAATCTTATTCACCCTGCAATTTTCATTTCCAAGTGTGCTTTTCGTTTCGATCAGTTCTTTTGTTATAAGAAATTTTACTTTGCGAACTGAGCATTACATTATTGTTTATGCCTGGGAGGAGTGTGAACAGAGATGTTGAACAATTAAATCGGCGTGAGTCATTGCGTCTAATCGAAATTAATCCATGCAGAATCCTGACATGGAATGATGAGATTCGAGGGTCTACCCCACTCGTGCATTCTCCCTGTAAGCCATTGTGCTTGAAGGCCTTCCAAGCCTGCCTCATAAGCATACGGAGTAGATCTGCGTCATTTCGAATATTTAAAATTGCCCATGGCATTTCAGGAAAAGAACTAGCCCTTGACGGTAGTCAAGGAAACCATCTGATGAGGGAGTGATGGGCCGGGGGGGGGAGGTCTGTGTGTGCATGTGATGTGCGTGTGCGTGTTTTTATCCCCCTCCCCTCCCCTCTCATCCCAGTCCGATAACGTAGGAATTCATTGTCCTCAGGACCTGGCATTTCCGTCGCGCTTTACGGCCTCGCAGTGCTTGCCTGCTAGTTCCTTCCACATTTATCTCCCCTCAAATAGGGCGTGAGTGGCTATCGGATGCATACACGTATGTACAGGGTATTCCATAATGATGGATTCCCCTGTGCAGAACAGCCAGGGAAGGAGAAAACTAATGCTGTGGTTCGAAGCAGCAATATCTCCTGAGTCTTTCGGTTCCAGGGTGACTGCCCAAAATCTAATGGTAAAAGCGGTTTCAGTGGATTGATAGGATCCGACAAGAACTCGAGAAGCTCATGGTGCCTGTATCTTTCATTTCGTTACCCTGGAATGCGCAGACTGGGACGAAGTGAAAGTCTATCTCGTAGATTCTTAGATCTTGGTCATCTTTCCCAATTTTTTTTTTTTGCCCAAACTCCTTACTCCTTACTCCAAACTCCGTCTTCCTGTAATACAGGAATGAAAGATGCTCTTGCAACACTAGCATCTGAAAGTTCTTGCTCGAATCATCAGCCCACCGAAACAGCTTCTACCATTTGAATACAGGCAGTCACCCTAGAACAGAAAGAAGTAGAACGTTGTGCTGTTTCAAACAGCAAAATTAGTTTTCTGATATATTTCCCAGGATGTTCGGTACAGGGGGTCCATCATTGTGGAACACCCTGTACGGTAGGCCTATATGTGTGGATGTTTGCAGTGTAGTAATATGGAGTCTTCAATGCCAGTCGTGAACACAGGTGGCATTCAATACAAGCCGCACGAGTGGCGCTGGCCTAGACGTAGATGTATTGATGCCATCTTCTTCCTCTCCTGAATTGGTTGTAGTACCCCTCTTGGTTTGCTTCTGCCCATCTCGTTTCCCACGATTTTGTTGGCGTAACATGTAAGAGATATGGTTCGAGGTGGGGGGGAGTCTCCACTACGATTTCCTTTTTTCCGCAGTTTGTGTCCGTCTGGGATCTGAGTGCTCGATATCTCCTGCTTCATTCATCCGTCTACGTCATCTATTTTGATGGTTTTTTTTTCCCCGGAAACCTACCCGCTCGAGAAATGTCGTGTGAGATTATCTGGAATCGATCGAGGCTTTTGCGTAATTTTGAGTGATGTTCACGATTATTATGCACTATGGTGTTGACTAGAGTTATTACTTTTTTATCGCGACGAGCTTGGGAAATAGGGCGCCGAAAAGGCATTATGAAAAATGGGGCGAATAAGGAAGAGGAGCACTATATCTAGATCTACGAGTTCGTAGCCAAATCACTAGAGCAAAGTCTACGAGTTGAGACTCGACGCGTTAAGGGAGTTGAAATTCATATTCAGCGACTCCCAGGCAATGTGCTGGGTAATGCTGTTTTTGGTTGTCAAAGCTGTAGAATCGTGCCTATTTGCTATCAAAACAATCATTTGTTTAAAACTCCATTTCGCAAAGGTGATGGACGCATTGACTTTAAAAACGGTTATCGTAATCGAGGAAGATGATCTCTACATGGGATCACGATTTTACGAACGAGGTGATCTCATGACTGGAAGGAAAGCTTCCAGGTGTCTCCAGTGCCGAGGTGACCCGGCGATTTCATATGGAGAGGTGGGCATGCGCGCACGCATCGCATCCGCGTTCTGAGTTTTCGATCAGGCATTTCTTCGCGAATTTCCGTTTCCTGAAAATATTTCTTCCTTTCTCCTGCCACATCCTCCGTGCGCCAGAGAGTACGAGTCGAGTCATGAGCGTGCGGCGGCCAGATTTGTGTGAGTAATCGAAATGCCATGCCTGCACTGGGGATGAAGATGAGAAAGAGAACAGGGCGCATCGATTCCAACAGAAGAAAAAAAAGCTTGGCCGTTCACTCTGTGCCTGAGGGCAGGAGTGGCTTGTCGGTCGGTCAGACTCCCTTCCAGCTCCATGCCCGGATCTTCATTCCGAGTCTTCTCGGTCCGAGAAAGAGAGTGAGAGAAAGAGGTGACTGTGAGAGGCTGGTGTGTGATTCATCCTAATTATCACAATCATCAGAAGGAATCCCTGCTGCATTCCACGCGCTTCCTGTCTTTCTCACGTATGTCTCCCTCTCCTAAGTCCCAACTGGTGGTTTTCTTCGTAGCCGCATAGGAGTCAAAGGAGACAGTCCGATTTCCAAGACATCGGGACAGGGTTAGGCTGATGTAAATAATTCCATTCCACGCTTGGATTGTTTCGGAAGGCACGAGAGGGGATGGGAGAGCTGCAGCCCTTCTCCTTTCCGGGTCTTGGCAAAGGTCGTCGACGCTGCTTCAAATGGCCAACGCACGACCCAATCCCAGGACTAGGACTGAGGCTCAGGTCGTATCAGTGCAGTGTTTCGCAGGGTGCACTCCCTGAAGCAGGTGGTTCATGAAGACCGCATTCCGTCTAACCGTCAGGGTCTCATCTGACTGTGTATGTGTGTGTGTCGCGTAACGGTTAGGGAAACCACAGTTCTCCTGTGTATTCCAATTCGAGACAAATGACTGAGACGGGGAGAGAAATATGTCGCATGAACCGCATTCCCCCTCCCAAACAGTGACAGCGAGATGTACGGAAAGTGGTGGTTATTTGGCCGGATACCGGGGGGTCATTGGTGGGCTTCCGTGCGTGAGCCGTGTACCAAAGTAGTGGAGATTCCTGTGAATGAGAAGATAGAGAAGCGTGGAAGCATGTCGGCTTGGCCAAGGGTCGTTGACTCTCATCCCCCCCCTCCTCTTTAGTGTGCTGTCTTCCTTCCAGAAACCCAGATTCCCTCAGTGGGGGGATCCCGGAAGGCACGAATCTGGAAACTCACAGACATGTAATGTTTCATTGTGAACCGTATATGACTTGCTCGAATGCCGATCCACGTGCTTGCCATTGTGCGTTCGATTTTTTCCTCCTTCCCCCCCCCCCCCCCCCCCCTCTCCCCCATGGGTCGTGGATCAGCTACAGAATGTAGGACAGCGGTGCATAGGTATTAAACGGTGGGTATTAAGGTCAAACATAGGAGGTTTCGTAACATCCGCTTTTGATATACGACGACGACATCAATAATGTATCGTGTCTCCAGGGACGAACCGAGGATATTCGTTCGGGACGGGTCTGTGTTCGCCCATCCAAAAGGTCCGAACCTATTTGATTTAAAATAGCGCACGAAACTAACTAGCTGGTACGCTGTTACCGTCACCCTCTACTACTTCGTTGTGACGTCATAATGACCTCGATCTGACGGTAGACAGTACAGTAGTGTGGTAATGTTACTGCAGTAGTTGAGCAGCGGTGGTGAAAACGCGCATCGCATCTGTCAAATGAGATTCACTTCTCCCGTTAAAGAAGGATGTAGTGTTTCACTTGTATCTGTGGCTTGAAAAAAAGCAAGTAGATCTCTATTGGAGCAGGCTGCAAGGTCGGAACTTTGCCCTTTGGATTTCCTGGGGCTGGGGTCTGAACCCCATGTTCCTACTCAGACCTTCGATGCCCCTCTGTGTCTCCAAAGTTTTCTTGTTACCTTCATCCTCAACTTAGGAATCGAGTCACCTACTCCTCCGCTTGTCTTACAAAGGTGGAGAATCATTTACATTTCTTGAAAAGAAAAGGAAGGAAAAGGGAGGTAGGGGAAAGGAAGAAAGATGAAGACCTACATGTGCAGAGAAACATACAACCATGCTCTTGGTTCCAACTGTCTCATGGATTTTCTCTGATCACAGTTGAACCCCTGTTTTGCTTGCTCATCGGTGTATCTTTCTGTTATTCCATGGATGTGATGGGTCATCAGGGTGATATGGTGATATCCACTCACAGTCATAAACAGGGTGATCTAAAAAATACCAATGAAACTCGTGTTTATTTTACATTTTTGTTTCAAAATTATTCATTCAGTTTTGAGTGAGTGAATCAGAAAAATAAATATTAATGCACATGTTTACTAGGTATTTTTAGATCACCCTGTATATCAGAATATTATGCATCAAACTGAGACAAAGAAGAAAAATAAGTGAGTTCATTAAGTAATTTTAGATAATCCTCTATTAGTCTTTAAGTTTGCATCATTTCACCTGGCTAGCACTCTTATCTTATTCTGATCATGACATTTCTGAACTTTTAGGCGTAGATCATGTGTAATGCCTCGCTGACTCATGATAATGCAAGCCGCTGATGTTGAATTGGAATTCAGAAAGAATGCAATTTCCTTCCTGTTCTTTCCAGATAAGATTAGACATTCCCTTGAATGTGAGTACTGTGAGTGTTATGCCTCAACACTGAAATATCTTCATTGTGACTGCCCTGAACTGGCAGATCTTTCAAAGTTGAGACTGTATTGGATTTTACTGAGTGTGTGGAAGTGAAGCATCCAAGCTGGGTCCTATCAGGCGTGGAGATTCTGATACCATGTCACACAATAGTGACGAGGCTCTGCTCATTCCTCGATCAGACTCTTTCTGGGAACCAGGGAATTATAAGCGAACAACCAAACGTATTGAGGATGGGCATAATCTATGCCTGGAGCTGATCAGCCTTCTCCAAGACAGGGCTGAGATAGAGAAGTCCTATGCCAAGAGCCTGAAGAGCTGGTCCAGGAAATGGAATGATAAAATTGAAAAAGGTGAATTTGGCTTCAACATTTTTATATTTGACCCATCTATTGGTGCAAGGGAATTGCTTGCTGTTGGAAGCAGCTGTACTGAGTGAGTTACAGTGTGATTTCATGCTTTACATTTATATATCTCTAACCTTTCAAGCTGGGACTTTTTCTTTTTGGAAAGTGAAATTTTTAAAATTTTAAATTAAAAAAATTTTGGAAGAGAAGTCCCCAACTGATTTGCATAAATTTCTATTATATGAGACTCAAATCTTCAAGTTTTTTTTTCTAACCTCACTAGGGCATTCTAGAATATTATTCATTTGTTCTTGTTGCAGTGATTGTGACATACTTCAAGTTTTGGTATTTTGGGGTATCATTTTCCTAATATTATTAGTAAAGAAGGCCTCACTACTTATGCTTCCTTTCTTATGCTATATGCCAATGACTTTCAGCTACTAGTCTGCATGCCAGCACTGGTACTTCTGGCTTTTGTCACTGGTATGAGACATTTGTAAAATGAACAAATCTCAATTTAAGAAAAATTGTAGACAGGTTCACAACTTTGCTGCTTTATTGTTAATTCAATCATTAATGACTATACATGAATTTTGAATATTTTTACTGAAAAATTTAGGTCATGGTCTAATAATCTGGTACATTTCACTGAAAAGTTTGAAAGGCACTGCTATATGCAAAACACTTGGATAATTTTGAAGCTTAGTTTGCCAGATAGAAGCATGATATATAGAATTCTGGTATGCACATGACCTACAAGACAAAGCAAAATTCACTGATAGATTTCATTTCCATATTATTTATTTCCAAAATTTGCATAGGTACACAAAGCTTACTACTTTCCCATCTCTTGGCAAAAAAACTGTTCATAGGATAAAACCACTTAAGTTCAGTCATTGATGTGAACATAGTTATAAAACTAAGTATTCACTAGGCTGCCTTCAGAAACAGTTTTTCCTGACATGAAATGAACACATTACTGAGCAAAGGACAAGTGGTGGCCTTGACGACGTGGAATGATTCCAAGATATTGGACATAGGCCAATGCTATATCCCAAACAGGGGGAATTATTTAAAATGCTGTAAGGAGAGAGAGAACCTTACAATTAAAACATTTCAAATGTGATATTGTTGCTTTCTGTGCTCAAGTCTTACTTCCCAAGAAACTAGGGGGACACAGTCTTGTTACACAGAATGCATGTGCCACAATCAAATTACTGCCTTACTTCTGATGTGTCCAAATTTAAGTTAGGAAATGTTCAAGAAACTCAAGTTTGGATATACATTCACATGTGCCATATCTGCATAAATATGATGTCCTCTTGAAGTAAAGAATGTTTTGAGCTGACAAAAGCTCAGTTGAGTCATGCTTCTCAAGGAACATGTATTTGGAGCTCTGTCAAAACATTCATAATGGAATATGTACATAAAAGTATAGCATCATAAATTTCTTCACACACCTAAGTGTGAGGCATGCCTTTAAAGCAGTGCAATCATGGTGGGAGGTTAGAATTCCAGGCAATCCATCCATGGCTGTTGAAAAGGTCATCAAAGCTTTCTAATTGGTTGAGGTGTCTTAGCAGAAGGTCAGCATTACTTAAGGTGAATGCATCTGGTAGGAAGATATGCTCCCAGGAATTGTACCCCTGAATTTGTGGCAGGGATATGTCCCTGAAGTTGGATATTTTCTAAATTAAGCATGCTAAGAATTATTTGCCTACTGAATGTAACAAACTGTTCTTACCTGTTCTACTGAAAATTTTTTCAAAAACATGACCCCAATGAAAAATGTGCACCCAAGGGATTTACCATTGTACACCATAGGCTAAAATGTGAAGGCCTCCTGGATACTTTTAGCAGGGCAGAGGAAAGCATGAATGGTTGTCTTATCAAAGTAATGGATATTTTCCTGTGGCAATATACTTGTGCCACCATGAATAACATATTTCTTCTGTTTCAATGAAGTACTTAAATTTCTTTCTTTCATCAACTTCAGAAGCTGTTATACAGTTGAAAGAACAGGATTAATTGTGAACTGATTATGAACTTTTCCTACTGGACCAGAAAATTTCTTCACTTGTTTCCATGCTTTTCAGAATCCACCATACCACTGGGCAGCTACCCCCTGTATAAGCTTCTGCTATAATCTAGAGGTCACACTTCAAATATATATATTTTTTTAATTTGGCTCCTGGTGATTGTGTCCTATCCATGTAACAGGAATCATGAGAACCCTTAATCATATTATTGTCCTCAAAAGTGCTCTAAGAAAATTGAATTCCTATAATCAGTAAAAGATCAATGTCTGCTATCACAATTCCTGTTGGATTCATGTTTAGGAAATTATGAAAGCTGAGTGTAATTAATTGGCAAAATTTATTTGAAATTTTAACATGAGTCACGGTGGAATTACCTTTCAGGATCTGTTCTCTACTCTTCTGTCATCTTCCTATTAGTCTGTGTAGCAGTATCAACAGTAATTTATAACACTTTCTATTGCATTTATGGGCAATAAGCAAATTTTGCAATGTTGGTGCCCCCATGACAAGATTTGGTAAGTCATGGAATTGATATCCCTTATGCCACTAGTCATGTCCATGTAATGGCACCAGCCCACTCCTGATATACTCATTCCCAAAAGAAAAAGCATGACCAAGGAGTTGAGCAGTCTGTTTTTGGTGGTGAGTATAGTTTAGGCACAATAGCACTCTAAAGTGAGATATTGATGTTATTGTCACCCTGTATATCCTCTAACATGTTTAGCTGCCACATTGCCATCCATGTTACACAGATATTTTGCCTAAATAGCAATGATCACCTTGATTAGGCTCTTGTCTTTGGTCACTGATTACTCTGAGACCACTGAGCCCATCAATCTTATTCTCTTTACATCACCATGGCTTGTACTGCACTTCCAATGATAGCAATACTGCTCCATGCAACAAAATAGCACAATAAGTCTGTTTTTGGAAATCTGTCAAAATGCCTGAGGTAAGGTGACTTTTTTTGTGGACTGGCTATTAAACAATATGGTGGTTTTTTATCCCAGCTCTGGTAGACAAGAATCTTGGAGCTGGTCATTACTGAGGTTCAGTTGTAACTTTCATTAAAAGACTTTTATTTTCAGGAATATTACAGGCAAAATTATTTTTCTGTATAAATATTAACCCTTTCATGGTCTAATTTTACGTAAACCTACTACTACTAGTACTGCTGATATCTCAGTGCATAGCCACGAAAGGGTTATTAAAGTTAGTTTTTGTGTCTTGTGGATTTCTTCATAAAATGCTTCATGGTAAATTTTGCTTGAGATGGATGATATGAACAATTTTCATCATTTAGTTTTTCAGAGCAAAAGAATAAAACCACCTTATCACTGAAGAACTTGGGAATGGTCTTATCATTCTGAAAAAAATAAAACCTGAACCTGGAGTGAAACAGATGTTGATAGTCAGAGTTTGCAAAATACAGTGAAGCTTCATGGAGTTAGCAAATTATGGTGAATCCTGAAAGAAATGAAATTTGGTTGACAGTTGGGCTTATTTGAAATTGGTAAAAACTAGTGAAAGTTGTTATTAGACTAGTATAATTTTGCATGAAAGACACCCCAATGGTGAATTCATTACTAGCTTTCCTATTGTGGAAGTTTTATATTTAAATGTTACATTTCTTAAATTTAAGGAGATTGCCAGTTTCTTCATAATTCATACCTGGAAAAACTGGTGGTATAAGTTAGAATCATCTGATTTCAAACTTTACATTGAACTGTTTAACTAACTTTCTTGCTCAAGTAATACAGGAGAGTGATTTTTAAGCGGTCGTTTTACACACTTTTCTAAATTTCAAGGGAGGGCATCTTGAGACCATTGGACTTGAGGTGCTAAAATGTTGTATTTATCAGTGTATCAAAGCCCCCTATAGCCTATTTTTTAATACCAATATATACCAGTTGGTAGTGTAAACACCTTCAGACCACTTGATGTGGAATAACCCTTCTAGGCATTATAGGCAATATTGTGGCTGGCAACATTGTGATAGTACAATCTGCCTTGACAAGCTTCTTCAGCTTACTTCTCACATCAAAAGTTTCTATTTTGATTCCAGTGCATGAAGCATTACTTGAATGAATGGCTAAATAAATTTCCATCTATCACAGCTCTCACAGGGCAGTCTTCATCTGTGCATTTCCAAAAATAATGGTCCCTGCTGCTCTGTTTTTCCTAAACAAATACTTAGGAGTATGCAGTAGGTGGCCTTCCTTTTGTGAAGTCATACTTCGTCCTAAAGACCTCATGCACTGAGAAAGAGGTTTAATCTCAGAGTAATATGAAGTATGTGTTTGAAGTGGATCATTCCATGTGACAGTTTGTAGAGTTACCTATCCATCTAGGTTTTTGGTATTTTAAATTTTTTGTATGATTAGCTCGCTCTCAGTAAAGACTACTGTAAGCAATTTGAGGGATTCATAATTTTTCCCAATCAGAAGTTTTACTCATGACTGTTTCGTAATTTCAAAGCTCTCAGATATTGGGATTTTTGGATATGACACATGAACAGTAGAAACTCTTATGATGCATTGGTGAGTTCATACAAAACGATCCCATTGGAGATTGATATTGAATAAAAATGTATTCTCATGCCAAATGAGATCAAAATGTTGCACTATGACAAGCTAAAATTAAAACTTGCATCCAAGTTCACAACATCTGTACCCAGTGTAAGTTTTTTCATTTATGAAGGGATGTGCTTATGCATAATTTTGTTAATACTGATTGTACTCTGCAGGACCAGAGTATGGAACAATGGAAGCTTCATGGAAGGGGCTCCTGGCTGAGGCTGATCGCCTCTGTGAAGTTCATATGCGAGTGCAGGATAATCTCTGCATTGATGTTTGTTCCAAGATCAAGGACTGGCAGAAGGACAACTACCACAAGGTAGGGTGTTTCCTAAATTAAAATTCTCGTCAATATCTGAGAATAGAAGGCCCACACTATCATGTGAGCCATTATCATTTGAACAATATACAGAGCATACTTTATATTCCAGATCAAAATTCTCATATGTATCAAAATGCAACTCTTCACAAATGGGACTAGTGAGCAAAACCATTAAGGATAACTGGCTTAATGGGCTATAATTTTTAGAGTTTTTCTTGGTATGCCTTGATCCAGATATCCCTAATACCAAATCCAGTGGTATCAGTACATCCCTAGTTTTTTCTCAAATCCAACCAATATTGTTTCTCTTAATAATTGTAAAATAGCCATGGTTCATGTGTTGTCTTGTCACATTAGGGCTGTAATATGTCGTTAGGGTTCAATTTTTGGCCTAAAATCAGTATTATTTGTACATGACTTTTAACGCTCATAGCAACTGAAGAACTGTGCATAATGGAGAACCAGACTCAGTGCCTGACCAATATTCCACATCCTTAGCTGAATCTGCCAATGCTGATGGATGACAGGGATAATGTCATTGGAGGACAGGTTAGGTCATAAGCTCCTTACCTAGTCTTAATAAACCTGTCTAACACTTCTCTATCCGAGAACTTTGACCTGGAATGGACTTTATACAGGCTAATGCTGTACAGCTACAAATAAAGAAAAATCCTTGGTTAACCCTTTGACAGGTGAGTTTTTCAACAGTAGTATGTAGGGTGTTGTGGTATGCACTAAATTCCTCAGTAGGTATACTGTGGCTCGATACTGTGGTATAACCCCCACCGGTGATACCAGCAAGGAGGGGGGGGGTTGCCTGCTTCAGTTATGAACTCCCAGAAAAAGCCCCAAGAAGAGAGGAAGTCTTTCTATTGCGATGGCATTGAGCTAGTCACACATCCTTATTTATGCCATTCGATTGAACAGCAAGGGGATTCATTCATTTCAAAGATTCTGTAGGCATTCCCAGATTAGTACTGCAATTTTAAAGTTGCTGGAAGGACTCAAACTATGGAGCTCTGAAAAAAAAAAGTTAGAGAAGAGGAACCATTTTATAATCTTACATGGTTGCACATTTCATACGTTTCAAAATGCCTCCAAACCCAATAGGTTGCTTTAGGTTTGATGTTGATGTCAATGTCTCCAATGTCATCACATCCCACATCCTCAGAAGACATGGTGAAGATATTGAGTGCTCAGGCACACAGAGCAGAAGCTATAGTCAAGGCACAAGTTGAACCCACAAATGACGGATATTTGTCCTTGAGTGTAGACTAAATGCACTCCAGTGACTTCCAGGAAGACTCTGGTTTTCCCTGGGCAGTGGGTGTCACTGTGGATGGAAATGGGGAGGATAGTTGACAATGTATTTTATTTTTAGAAGCGGCTCTTCAGGTATTGCGCTATGGCGGTAGTATGAGTGGTGGTGTCCCACAATTTTCTACTGTGGTGACAGTATAAACATGGACAATATTCCACAGTTTTCATACCATGGCGGTAATACCAAAAAATGTAGAAGTCGGTATGATATGAATATGATAAGAACCAAATACCGTGATATGATGAAAATACCAGTATACCGCAACACCCTTGTAGTATCCGCTGCTGGGATGGGTCGGGCCATCACATGGGGAAGCATGCTTCCTAAAGCTGTGATTGCCTGACACATACATACCACAGTACCACTGTGCAGTAGCTTTTGAAAATGTAAATAAATGTCAGTACCTGTTTAAGGGTTAAAATGAGTTGTGGGCTTTTGAGTTCCATGCTGATTCACTTCACAACATAACTTTAGACTCACCCAATCAAAAGACATAATAATGGGTATGGGTTTTTACTTTAACTTGTGTCTTTCACACCATACAATTTAAGCTAATTTTGCCAAAATTCATTGTTCAGCCCAATCATTTGTCATGAAATTTACATGTATGCACTGGAACATATTCCATACTTATTTGTTTACTCATGGAAATGCCACTGTGTTCCTGACTATTTGATATTTTCATTCCCCTATCATGGCACCATCCTGTAGGCATCAGGCTTTATGGTGAGTATGCACACAAGAGTTACTGTGTCCTAGACCTCTTTCCCTCTGCATTGAGCTCACTTTGAATCTGTTAATGCTTGCAAGTGCTGGTGTATAGGTTACTTGCACTTGAAATGTTTCATTTCTTGGTGTTAGGTATATGGTATATTGTATTAGGCATTTGATTAAGATATATTTCCAATAAAATGTTTCACACATTTGTGGAGTATAACAGAAAACAGATTTGAATCAATTTATTCATATTTCATCTATACCTTAATTCATGAGGTTCAAAGTAAAGTATTAAGTATAAGTAACTAAAGTAAGTACCCAGCCATTGTCCACTCAATGGTAAGTGCAACCAATATGGTGTACTGGTGAAATACAGGGTGGCCCATAAGTCACTTTACCATTTAAAAATGTAATAACTTTTTTGCCATTAATTTTTTAAAATTTTTGTTTCAGATTTTGAAAATTTGTTCCCTGGAAATTTATTATGGAAAAATTCCTGACGGAGAAACGCGTAAAAATCATTGAATTTTATTTCGAAAATCAGTGCTCCATTGTTCTAACACAGAGAGCATACATGCACTATTTCCATGTCAGGAATCCGCCCACGAAACCAGCAATACGTCACTTGGTTCAACGTTTCCAGCAACAGTGGTCTCTTAGTGATTTGCCATGAGCAGGGAGATCACATTCAGTACGTACGCAGGAAAATATTGAACGTGTGCAGCAGAGCATTCAGGAAGAACTAGGAACGTCCACTTGAAGACGTTCTCGCGAGCTTGGAATCTCATGGACTTCGTCGCAGCACATGCAAACACATTTACACATGTACCCATACAAGGTGCAATTGGTGCATGAATTAAAGTCGATAGATTGTCAGCAATGGCTAAATTATGCAATCCGGATTCAAGAGATGGCTAGAGAAGACAACAACTTTATTCACAATCAGATCATGGGAGATGAAGCCCATTTTCACCTGAATGGCTCTGTGAATAAGCAGAATACTAGGTTTTGGGGCACCGAGAATCCGAGGGTCATCCATCAACATGAATTGCACCCCATCAAGTTTGGTTTGGTGCGGTGTAACATCCGAAAGAGTAATCGGGCCTTACTTTTTTGAGAACGAAGATGGCAATACAGTTATGGTGACCGGCAACCGATATCGAGCAATGCTGGAAAATTTTGTGTGTCCTGCAGTGGAGGACATGCCTGAGATATGGTGGCAGCAAGATGGGGCAACTGTCCATACGGCCAGAGCCACAATGTAGCTGCTAAGGCAGATTTTCGAAGAGTGAATAATTTAGCGAAATTCAGATTTCAATTGGCCTCCACGTTCGCCCGATTTGACAGCACCAGACTTTTTTTCTTTGGGACTACCTGAAGGATTGGGTGTATGTCAATAAGCCCGGGACCATCCAGCAGCTTAAGGACAACATTCGGGAAGAAATTCATGCGCTGGAGCCAGACATGTTAAGAACCGTGATGGAAAATGCCGTAGAAAGAGTCCGTGCTTGCGAAGCGGAAAATGGGGGTCATTTACGTGACATCATTTTTCATACATAGTTTTAAAAAAATTCCCATTTTCTGTACTTTATATTATAAAAAAATAAATGCAAAAAATTAACAAACAAAAAATTTATTCAATTTTTAAATGGTAAAGCGACTTATGGGCCACACCCTGTATATCTGATGTTGTCTGGCAGCATTTGTTGAGAAAAAAAGTTTCTGTCCATTTATGAATGTCTTATACAAAGAAGAATTGGAAGATTGTGCAGGGAAAAATTGAGGAAAATCATGAATGTTTTACCTTATCCCCTATTTTACCTATTTTACCCTAAGTCATGATATATATTGATTGAACTTGAAGATTGCATATGTCTGGTCTGAGAACATAATTTATTTGGATATGAAGTATAGGGTGTCCGTAAAGTTACTTCCCTGTTTCAAAAGGCCCTATCTCCATTACATAGCAGCCTAGAAACTTCATATTCATAATAGAGGATGTGCAGCCAATGGAATTTATGACAGCAGAGTTTTCCAAAAGTTTCCAGAAGCTTCTAGATATCACCACAAGGGCAGCACTGTACCAACCAGAGACACAGCATTGGTATAAAGTGGTGACTCATGTACAGCTCCCCATTTCTATCCTGACAATGGCCAGTTACAAGTTTTATTTGCAGGCTCAAATTGGGCTTGTTCTGCAGTACTATGCCTGCCAAAAGAGCAGTTATATGTTCCAACTTTGGACAGTGCCTCTGGATGGTACAGCACCGCCCTGGTGGTGATGCCTTAAGTGGTAGGATAAATCTGATTTGAAGTGGATTTGTACTCAAGCAAGAATTTTGCATTTTATGAAGCCCTAATAAGTCATGCCTGACATGTTCATAAGGAAAATTAGACTTCTTCCTTCTTTTCCCTCTTTCTTCCCAAGTTTCAACATGAAAGCTTACATTTTGATTTCCATTCTTTTTGGCAATCTTTCTGCTTCTGTCCTTCAATTTTGCCCTTATATTGAATTTTTTTTTTATGCATTGGTCAGTTTTCTACTCCCCTCTCCATTCCTGGATCTGCCTAGTGTATGATGTTCATCTGTTATAAGTGATATAGCAATATGGACAAGCTCTTTTTCATAAAAGAGTAACTGGGATGGGATTACTCATTTTGTGGGTGTGTCATTATAGAATTCATTCCAATATACTTCATTTTGCAGTGTGATACAGTCCTAGATTTTTTGCTTTAATTTCATATTTCAATACCTGCTAATGGCTTATTAAATCCTATCTTAGATTAAGTAAGTGAAGAGTTCCAGCTGATGTGTACCTCATTTGTCTCTTCAGATCTAAGACTGGATTTATGTCACCTCATGTCATTTGTATTGAAGATCATAAAAGACATTGAATGACTCCTTCTTCAAGTAAACCATGCATTGAAGCATGTAGTTATACAACTGTGTGTATTGCAGCCATCCATAATGGGCCACCATGCTGATTGTCTTTTTTTTATTCTTGCAGTCCATGATGCAGCTGAAGGAGAAGAAGGACATGGATGATCAGTTTAAGAAAGCCCAAAAACCTTGGGCAAAGCTCCTGGCAAAAGTCAACAAGGCCAAGTCAGACTATCACACTGCATGCAAAAATGAGAAGAGTGCCATCAATCAAGAGAGAAATGCCAGCGGAGACTCTTCTCTTTCTGTTGATCAGGTAAGAATCATGAATGTGACATTATTCTTATCCTCCAGAAATCATAATTGATAATGTGGCTTGCTTTGAAACAGATGAAGAAGCTGCAAGAGAGAGTTTCAAAGGCAAAGGAAGATGTGCAAAAGACAAAAGAGCGCTATGAAATAGCACTCAAAGAGATCAATGAAAACAACCCAATGTATATGGAGAATATGACTGTGGTATTCAACAAATGTCAGGACATGGAGTCAGAAAGGCTCCGTTTCTTCAAGGAAATGCTCTTTTCTGTTCAGAAAGGCCTCAACATATCAGTGGACCCTGAGTAAGTTCTCCCCCATTCCCTCCTGCTTTGATACCTTGTACTTTTCATGAATTATATTGAGAAGTTACCATTCATATTTACTCCATTTCAGATTGCCCCAGATTTATGAGGAACTGCATCATACAATCAGCAATGCTGATGATGAGAAGGATCTCCGGTGGTGGTCCAATAACCATGGAGTCAACATGGCCATGCAGTGGCCTCAGTTTGAAGTGAGTGCTTCTGATAAGAAGGAAATTAGACATCTTTTTTTAGTGCTCTTGACAGGAGGGATGACTATGGATTCCCTGACAAGGGGAGATCTGTTTTGCCTCTATGACTTTCTTTGTCTAAAGGTGGATAAGGTTTTTCTTACCTTCATTGAAGATAATAATCCCTGGTATTCTGTTGGGTCATTGTATGAAGATTCGAACGATTTAATTAAGGTTTCCTTTTTCTTGTAAACAACTTTTGCCAACTTGGTCTGCTTGTACTTGAATGCTCTTAGCAGTTTCATTGTTTGTTCTCATTGCATGCTAATCAATGCCTTTAATATTGATGGATGTAACTTTCGGCAGCTGACAGATGCCTGAGATGCACGGTAAATTTCCCCTTCCTTGACAACAGGAAGCAAGTGACAATTGTACCAAAACAAAAGTTATATTGCTTTTTGAAACTTTTTCATATGTCATTTGTAAAAGAACTATCTATGCATTTTGGTAGACAGTGCATCTATATCATCAAAGGAAAAATTTTACTGGTGAAAATATGTTTTCTAAGTTTCTTTGGCCCACTTGTAGTTCTTGTGGAATGGAGCTCACTCCCTGAGTTTCATTTCCCCATTCCTAACAAGAAAAAATGCAAGAGGATTGTGTCCCATTTTAGTGAACCATGTCACATGCTTTCTTATGTCATTTGAGGGCCTGCCTGCTTCGAGGAAAAGAGAATGTTTTGATGCATGGTAATTCTCCATGATTGAGAGGTTGGGAAGAAGACAGGGTAGACCAAAATTCAAGCACTCATTTTATTCATAATTTGCATCAAAAAGCTTGTAGGCAAATCCAAATCATCATCAAAGACAAAGGTGACATCTTTGAAACTTTTTCTTATAAAAAAAAAATACAGGACATGCAACAGGCACAATGGATGTTTTTCAGTCACAGTATGCAGAGGAAGGGATTCATTCCTGACTCAAGCACCTTGCTGAGTCACAATCCTTTTGGAAAGGATGCTCCTCGATGGTTTGATGAAGGCATTATGAGTTGCCTAGAACCATGACTGTTGTAATTCCTTTTTGAGCATAGAAGTGGCACCCAGAGCAGTATGTGTATTACCTCAATGCTGGGTATATACATCCCAAGATAGGCCACCTCTAGGAAAGGAGAGCTTGTCACTGTCTTCTCTTATCCCTGCCTCCTAGGTTTAATTGAAATCCTTAACCACTCAGCCACTGAACTAATTGACATTGTTGAAGTATCAGCCAGTCAGAATGTCTTTCTGACTAGCTGATTTGTCACCTTGAGTATGTCTTCCTTTTGATCTCATCCCCTTAGATGCTTACTATGGAATCTGATTAGATTGAAGGTAAGTTTATCTGGTGCTGTTGGTGAGTGCTTTGAAAATATAGTGTGACAGTTGGGAACTTTCCTTTGAATGTCAATTAGCCATAAAACCTCTCAGTGACTTTTGGCCCACTCTATATATGAAGATATGACTTATAGGAAATTTTGGAGGATGAACATGAAAGCATTTTGAAGTGGTGTTGTGCTCTGTCTTCCTGCAAATGATTTTATATCTCATTGTTCACTAGGTTTTTGGTTCATTCCCACAATATTTGTTTTTTTGGAGTGCATTTTATACACTCTTGCACTTACAACTGAGCTTTTGCAGGTGCTACATATTTGTAGTTATGAGTATTAGAATGAATCTCCTTTTCCACCATGATACCAGGACCCAGCAGAGGAATTCAGGGACATAGCTCGCAAGACCACCAAGGGAGGCCACATTCCATCAGGAAACATCACTCTCCTTAATCAGCGCAGTGTGGGCGAGGAATTCCCTGTAATTCATTTTGCTTGTTTCATTTTTATCCTGCCGTTTTTATCACTATTGGTACCATACTTGTAGAGGGCTATCCACCAACTCCGTTCATTCTCAATCTGCTTTCATATACTTGTCACTGCACAATGGGTTTTTCTGCACAAAGGGCTCTAACTCCTCTATTCGTTTGCGTCGGCTGATCTGCTTTTGGGCGGTTGTGGTGCAAATGAGATGTGTTTATTTCCCCTTTTATGTCCTCGTCACTTTCATGTGGGAAGACTCCTAGCTCCTTGTCAAATGTACTAGTAGACTTTTACAATATTTACATGTCACATTGCAACTTCCATCTTCCCCTCTTCAATAGTACAGATCCATGTTCAGTTCTACTTTGCCTGTGTCTTATGCCTGTTTGATCCATATACCATGCAGACTGAATACTACAATAGTTGACAGAAAAAACAGAAAAGCACCACCAAAAAGGAATTGAGCAATCTTTATGAAGTTTAGTTCCATGCTTGTAGCAGTGTGCCACGAAATGTCTATTGAAGGACATAGGATGGATATTCACAGAGAAAAGTTACCAAGCCCTCCAATTTAAATGGGGGTGAGAGGTGAGAGGGTCATACTCATCACCAGAAATGGTCACCTGGATGGATTTTATTAATGAAATGTAGAATGGTAACTTTTGAATATGTTTATGAAAATGAAGTAAAGTTTCAAAGCCATCAGATGAAGCAATGCTGAGAAACCATACAAAATAACTGAAGCACCAGTTTTCCTTTTATTTTATTCTCAAGTCAATTTGCTATTGGGCTATCTTTAAGTGTCTTGCTGGGAAGCATTGCTGAAATGCTAGCTCTCAAAGCAGTGGTTTGAGCCCTTGATTGATGAAGGTTAATTGGGTGCTTAGCATGCATTAACTTTATGGATGCATCCTGACTAGCCTACATCAATCAAACTCGAATTAAACTCCCAACCAACTTGTTGAAATTGTCTGAGATTTAATTGCTCAATTGCCTTACAGTTAGGCACCTAAAAATGGCCCAATAGCAATAGGGCTTGAGGGGAAAAGAAAACTGGTGGCATCAATGGCACCACCCTCTCCCTTCCTTCCGTGAGCATTTGGTAAGTTTCCTCTGTGTTGCTTCATCCTATGACCTTGAAGCTTTGCACAATTCTTCTATACATCTTTTAAGAGTTTCCTTTTCATGTTTCATCAATAAAATACTTCTGGATGACTGTTTCAGGGGATATGTATGAACCCCTTGCCCCAATTTAAATTGGAGTGCATGGGAAATTTTCTCTGTGAATATTCATCTAGCACCTCTGTAACTCTTAATCAATTTCATGGCATACTACTACAAGCTTATGTGTTAAATTTCATCATCATCATCATTCAACTCCTTGATAGTGCTTTTTATCTTGGCAATGAGTGTATGGCATACTGTACTGACAAACTCAGTCTGTAGGTTCAGGAGCTTTCTTCTCTTTCTTTTTTTATGTATATTTTTCTTATGGAGCCTTCAGCTTTGAATTTTTCCTGATTACTCTTCCCCTTCTGATTGCGTGTGGTTTTTGTGCTACTCTACTGCTTAAACTGCTTCATAACTCTTCAGCTTCATGTAAATATTTTCTGTTCGACCCCTCATGCCATTAGTTGCCTCAATTGACTATACATGACCTTCCCTTTTGGAGGAGATTGCTCACAGCCTGTCAATAATGAAATGTGTATTGTTCTGACTCTCTGCACATAGAGGTAGTACAAGGCTACTGCTCAACCCTTTCAGGAGTATGAATATACTGGTACATTCATACTGCTGAAAGGGTTAAGAAAACTCACTCCTGAAAGGGTTAAGGACCTCACTTTTTCCTGTTTCACATTTTACAAAAATCATCCTGCAAGTTATCCTACTGTATATCATTGTTCCAATTTATTAATGTTGACTTTGTCTTGTGAGGAAACAGATGTCACTGTTTCATCTGTGATCTACAACTTCATTCATGCTTGAAAAGCATAGAAGTTAAGTCATGTCTCTTCTGACTTGAAACTTCTGTCTACCTCTGTTAATTTTTCCCTTGACTTGTAACTTATTTCTTCTCTCTTCTCTTGGAGTGGGAAGGCAGTTGACTGTATGGCTAGAGCATTAGTTTTTTTAATTATCAGTTTCTAATTCATCATAGTCATGTAAGAATTGAATGGGTCCTCAAAGCAATTTGTATTCATTTGAAGCCTGATTTTAGGCTTGAAATTGTGAGAAGTGAACTCTTGAGCCTACAATGTCTATTAAGGATGTCTGATGCAAGTCACATGATCACATGGCTAAGGTGTGCTCCTGCAGTGATAAGGTGTCAATTGCAAAAGATATATAAAGTGTTCTTCCAAGTCTTTTATTTTAATTTTACAGAAAACTGCAAGTGTTGAAATTATTTCTGAACTTTTCTTCCTCTCCTCTCTCTCTTTTTCTCACTTTATTTCTCTCCTTCTCTCTCTCTCCCCTCCTCTCCTGCCTTGCTGCCTTTTTTTCATTCCTATTAGTTCTGGCTTAATTGAAACTCATTGAAGTCAGCTGGCATTTTGAGTTTCAATGTGAAATTGACATGTTTGTCCCTTTTCTTCAGTAGTACTTTCTACAATTAATATTGTAGCCAAACTCACTTATCTTCTCATAGATGACCCTGCACATACATTTCAAAACTGAATGGCTTCATCTGAATTCACATTGTGGTGACTGTGTACTACAAGACAATCTCAAGCTTAGGCCATAAAAAAGATGAGTTTTAGTTTCTTGATATCTTCACGTTGTTGACATCTTGCAGGAGCAACCAAAATCAAAGTCTACAAAGAACCAGAGCAAACAAGCATCAAGGGGAATGAGAGAACCAGACCGTGTGAATGATGAACGCATGGATAACAAGAGGAACTCTGCCATGTCTTCGTAAGTATATATTACTGTTTAGAATATTGTTTAATATTGACTGTCTTCAAGTTTTTACATAGCTGCTTGTGTAGTCCTGTCATTTTTTAGATTTATAAATAGCTTATAAGAAAAAAACTATATATTACGAAGTACAGTCAATTGAAGTGATTCAGTAAGCACTATATAAAGCATGAGAACACTGAATCACTTTCATTTGACCATGCCTTGTAAATAATTGAGCTTTTGATTCATTGAAACTCAAAGTAAATGGAGGGGTGGATAACCTAGCTGAAAGTTACTGGAGACCAGGCAGCATCGTGTTGAGTGAATTTTGTAATTTTAGAATATAGGGGAGCAGCACCAGTTAGTGAACAGGGAGCCAGTTAGCAAATGAGGGTCATGAAATGCAATTTGGCTTTTTGTTACTCTAGTATCACACTCCATCTATCGCATTAAGTAATCAATCCAATTTCTGCAGATACCACAAGCTGGAACGTGTAACTTGAGAAACAAAAGGCCAAATCGCATTTCATGGCCCTTGTTTGCTAACTGGCTCCCTGTTTGCTAACTGGTGCCACTCTCCTACTTTTTTCAGTTGGGGGCATTTAACAGAAAACTGCTTCATAGGCAAGACCCTTTTACAGAATAAAAACTAGTGCATTGGTTCTGTTTTAGAGAGCATAAGCCTCTTATTATGACTTCTCACAGCTTAGAGACATCACATCTGGTTAAGTGCAGTTTGGTGCCTTGAGTAAAGCGTTTCAGGCTTCAAAATATAACTTCGCCATCAATCAACCTGAAAAACAATAGTATTTTAGAGAAATTTCATCAACTTTACCTCCACCACATATTCACAGCAACATTAAGAAAATTGCACTGCAGTAAAGGCCTAATCTTATTCCCAAAATGTAACAAGATTTAATCTTGTTTCCAATTTGTGAAATGGAATCAGCTGACAGGGCCCCACACTTATGGCATCCTTCATTTCACTACCACTTGTCTTTCTCACAATTCTGTTCTTATGATCATACAATTCAGAAGGCCATTCTACAATTAGACCATTATACAAATTTCATTCCACCCGTAGTAGTGATCACAGAACACTTACATTAATGCTATGTAAATATGCATTTTTATTTCTTCCATTTGCATAGAATACATGGTCTCTGACCTTCAATTAATGCTGGTAAAACTTGGAAGTCACATGTTCCATTACTGATGACTCAAATGCTTACACCAGGCACAGCCATGGCTTAACTTAATTGAGTGTGAGAACTCAAAGCTGTCAGATCTGAATAAGGATGGACCTTCAGCTTGACCAATGTTGCAGATTCTGTTGCAGAAGCAATTTTCTGCAAAATGAGCCACCTTGGCTAAAACCTGTTATTCAACACACCTGAGTTGTCTCTAAAATGGAACTCTCACTGAATTGATTTTTTTCTGAACACCCTGCTCCTGCTTTCATTCTGTAGTGCATAAAAGCATATTATTGAGTAAAGCAAGAATAAGTGGTAGAAGATAATGATGTTTGTTTGCTTGTTCCTCATTACTTGAATTAGTCATGAGAACATGACCACAAACCACTCATGTCCATCTTTATTATTATAGTATATCACAATAACTGCTAACCACTAGTATCACATTAGTAACAGCAAGATAATAGGGAGGGCAAGTCCCACCTCCTGTTCCCAGGTGCTAAGTGTGTGGCTCAGCAAAGCAGATAAAAGTGCAATTCTGCCCATAGGTGACCTCATATTTCTTTTGTTCTTTTCCTTGTCTTTGCTTGAGATTCCTTGCCACAATGAAAGCAAATGACATATCATTGGAAACCTCTCTTCCTCACCTTCAACTCAGTATGAAAAACATGACTCATCTTGCAGGATTCTTGCCAGGGTGATTTATGAAGGTGGGAGGGGTCTATGCAGCAGGCAGCTTTTTTTAGAAGCTTCTCTTGAAGTTTCACTGCTTTATTGGAGATAGGGGGGATGTTCAATAAGTAATGATTGCAACTCAAAAACTTCTTTATGTTTAACAACTGGAACTTGAAAACTTTAGAGCCCTTCAAGATAATCTCCACCAACATCAATACACTTTTAGAGCCTCCTGAGCCACTTTTGAAATGCCTCTTTATAGATGTTTAGCAGTATTCCTTGAAGCACCACCTGTACAACCTTGCTCTATGGTCTTGAATTCAATTAAACTGTATCCCGTTTTCTTTGAGGATAGGGAATTCTGGTGACAGCCAGAATTGCAGGGGGATCAGGGGAATAGGATAGATGGGGAAGGACTTTGATTTTATTTTATTCCAAAAACTTCTGGGTCACCCATGCCATATGGCTTGAAGCATTGTCATGATGGAGCCAAATTCTGGTGGTTCTGCCAAGAGGTTGTTGGGATTTAATCCCAGTCAAAACCTTTGGGAGCACAACTCCAGAGTAATATGCTCCAGTGATTGTTCCCCCCTCAGGCATTATGTCAATAACCACAGGCCATTGGTAATAGAAAAATATAGGGAGTATCCTCTTTCTGGAGTGAATATCCTCTTCCTCACCCATGCTTGAGGAATTGATCAGGGCTCATCTTGTCCTAACCGAACCATATTGTTATGCTTGTTTGGAGTGGTGAAGTAACTAATCCACATTTCATCACCTGCGATGATGTCCATGAAATATTTTGAGCCTCCAGGACCAAACATTTTTAGCATTTGATGACTCATCTCCACCCTGGTCACTTTTTCCAGGTCACTTAATCAATGAGGAACCCAACAGGTGCAAATTTTTCCTTTCCTCAGTGGTCATGGAGGAGAGAATGGGTGGTGCTAACTGAAAGTTCCAACTCTTAGGATAAACAACAGACAGAGTTCTTGGATTGGCCTCAACTAAGTTTCAGCAGAGGGTGACTGTCCTGGTTCACCACAGTTGGTGGGCATCCAGGATGGTCTTCATCTTCAATGAAGCAACACCCCATAAAGAAATGCTGCATCCACCTCTGAATCATCTCAATTGAAAGGGAACAGACACCCAGATCCAATTTTATTAGAGCAGCAGACTGTTAAAGCTGCTGCTGGGCAAAGATGTAAAAGTGAATGTACTGATTTGGGAAGTCAGCCATTTCTGGTCCTAGGAAAAACCAAGCACTCTTCTGGAAGTTCTTGAGACTCAAAACAGGTCTAGATCCTTGAAAATTTCTAGGAAGACTGAGCTTTGATGCAAATCAAGGGGGTTTGAATAAGAATCTTCTGCAAGGAAAAGAACCCCTGTTTTTTTTTGGACAGTCATCACTGAACAGCCCTCATAAGACTGATTTTCTCTGTCAATATTTGGCTCTCATACATTGACCCTCAGAATACTTTTGTTTGAACATGAGAGTGCATAAATCTCACCATTCATGACTCAAGATTTCTATATTACCATGGATTTGGTCACAGTGTTTCACTTATCTGAAAGAGACAAATTTTCTTATCCCTAGCATGAAAAACAATATGGTCATTCCAGCTAAATGTGAACATGGAATGCACTGTTTGTCCTATTTCAACAAACTTAGTCTTATTAACCCCTTGAACGCACCAGGTATTGGACAATTTCATGCTATCATAAGCCAGAATTTGGTATTCAATAAAATAATTTGTTTCTCCTAAGTTCTCTGCTTAATGGTATTACCTCAGACTTTACTTCCTCTCATGGTACTTTTCCCCCTGTGAGCACTCGCTGTGAGCAACCAGTGAGTGTCCTGTATATCAGTTGCATGGTTCCTCCATGATGCATATGGATGCACCATGTGTGTTCAAGGGGTTAAGAACTGAAATTTGAGTGTGACCTGGAATAATGTGAAATGCTAGGTGCAAAGAAAAAAAGCACACCACTGTTTGAATTTGTATAAGAGGGAAATTAGGCATTGCTACAATTATCTATCTTCCAGGTTATTTACATCTATGTCTTGTCTTCCATATAACAATTTTTCTGAATTTTATTCCATATGGTTCAGCCACAAAGCATTTTGAAAGCTGCAAGTCAAATTTTTGGGAAATCTCCATCTGCTGTTACCCTCATGCCAAAAAGGAAAGTCACTACATGTGAATGTTTTCACTTCAATTAATCAATCAAATCAGTTATGATCATGCTGTTCCCTTAGGCTGACAGAGTAGTATTGAAGCATGTTTTCTGGATGAGAGTATGAACTGATTTAATTGAAAGAGTGATTTTTCAATGAAAACAGCAGTGGAATCCTATCATTCAGGCACAAGACTGTACCATCTTTCATCCTTTTGTGAGTCTCCTTGTATGAGGTTATCCAGATATTTTACATCAAACTTTAAAGTGCTTGTTTGGCTAAACCAGCTGATGGAAAATTCTGAAGAAAAAAAGTTATAAGAAAATAGAAACCATGTATATCCATACAAGGTGGGACAAACACAGCAGTAGCTTTCACTGTTCTCCTGAAATAAACATTCAAAGAATGGCACATTTTTTCTCCACACCCAGTACATGGCAATTTGTAGACTGAATGTTGGACCCAGAAACCCCATCATTGTCATCCTAAAATTATGGTTCTAGTGATTGGTGTTTTTGGCCACAAGCAATGAGTCAAAGGGTTTTATTATTATTTTGTGGTGACTGCATATAATGTGCATGTCATTGCAAATTACTTGTATTGCATTGTTTTAGAGATTCATTTGCTGTAGAGTAACAGCTAAGAACCATTTGCTCATTGGGAAAATTCAAATAAATTTGATGTCAGGAACACCTCACATGATTCATTCAATTTTACATTCATTACCTTAGACTGCTGTGAACTTCTGGTATGTGAATGGTAAAATGACTGCAGCTTGACATATCATTTATTTATTTATTTTCCAAAGTCTTGTACAAGACCTAGAAAAAAAGTTGATAGTGTGAACCAGAAATTTACCTGCTAATGAAGAGCAATGCAAAATTTCTCATTTTTCTTAAAAGGTAAATTTTGCTACTTTGGAATGACCCTGTACCATCTTTCTGCATGCTTGAATGAACACCTGACATTGATGCTACCACCTTTGCCAACAAGTCCATCCAGAGATGCACTTAAAAAATGTAGAATGTGGCCCCTTGGAAAAACTTCCTTTCCAGTCTTAAATTCAAAATTTTTAAGTGCAGTCTTTGCATGTTTTTGGCTCAAATCATATTCCTCAAGCAGGGTCTTGAACAGGGAAAGGCAGAGCACCAACAACAAACATTTTACTACTTAGAGCAGTGGTGCCCAACCAGTGGCCTGCAGGCAAAAAGTGGCCCTCAAGGTTCTTACAAGTGGCCCATGAGGCCCTAACCCACAATACCCTCAGATTTCCTTTAAAATTTTCTCCTACAATACTAGTGACTTAATATGGCCAGCGATGGCTGTGGTATTGAGCTATGTGGCCCCTAGCTGAAAAGGTTGGGCATCACTGACTTGGGAGTACAGGGTTTTGAACATTATGACTCAAAATCTAAAGAAGCTATTATCTCTTAGTAAACATGAATATTTTCTGTATGAATTGACAAAGTATGTCCTGGCTAGGAGAAAGAAAATATTCAATTAAGGAACCATAATAGGTGAGAATGCTTGAATTTCCTGCTTCCTTATATGTGCCATGCTGCTTTGTTTACCCTTCTCACCGTCTGGCCAACCCCAACATGACGAGTGCTCTGCCCATTTGTGGTTTTATATTTATATTTTTAAAATATACATGGTGTTCATATTTAAACACAACATAAGGAATATTTTGTTGCCTGTAGGTGGAGTTCAGCAAATGCTATAAGGCCCACTGGGTTGTATATCTGCAAGGAAACACACCTAGGATAGGTTTCATCCTTCTAGATGTGCAACCCAGTCAGCTATAAGGCACACTCTGAACTCCACAGACAGGTGGGAAAAATTTCCCTATGTTGCATTTAGATACAAACACCCTGCATAAGTATCACCACTATTAGAAAAGATAGTAAGAGATGAAGGAAAAGGTGTCAGCATGGGCCATAGGAGTAAAATAGGAAGGATGAATGAACTAAATTGCTCACCATTTGTTAATGATGGCAGTGAGACAGTGATATCACTGTGCTGTGAATGATCTTGTTGAGTTGTACTTTATTGATCCCAGGTCCCAGTGTCCCAGGTAAATGTTGTACAGCTGCATTTTTTCATTTAGTAGTAAGAGTCTTTGCAGAAATTTTCAAAAGCAATCTCATTTCAAATATATGAAATGATACCACAAGCATCTGCAGTGACAGCTTAGATTCCCCATTGAGTACATCCTCTTTTTTCGTTTCCATTATCATCTGATAATTTATTGTTGCTGCCTTTGTGGCTTTTAGGAATGGAAAAGAAAACAATCCTTTTGAGGAGGAGGAATGGGATGAAGACCCAAGTGATGCTCTTGTGGATCATGGAGAACCAGGTGTAGCAGTCAGAGCATTGTATGATTATGATGGCATGGAGTCAGATGAGCTTTCCTTCAAAGCTGGTTAGACACTTTTATTTCATTCATATTTTTAAGTGTTAGTAATCTGTCCAAATTTGCTTTTACATGAACTCTATCATGATAAAAGTTCATTTGCCATGATTTCTTTTTTAGGTGAGGAGTTTGAGAAGTTGGAGGATGAAGATGAACAAGGTTGGTGCAAAGGCAGGAAGGATGGTCGTGTGGGGCTTTACCCAGCCAATTATGTGGAGATGGTTCGATGAACGATCTTATCATTATGGTGGATGCAAAAATGCCCAAGGAGACATAAGAACTACCTGGCAGACAGTGTGCTCACATTGAGTTGCTACATTCTCTCTTTCTCTCTCCCTCCCTCCCTTACTCTCCCTCTCTTCCCCCCTCCCCCTCTACCCCTTCTCTCCCCTGTTAACTGTGTTCTGAACTAGTTACATCCTCTTCACAAGCATCCAGTCCCATTTGTGTACATCATCCTACACTTGTGACTTGTCCATGTTTAAGCTAGCTAGGCTGCACTATACTTCTGAATGTATTCAGAGATATTTTCTAGAGAGACATACCCATTGTGCCATGGTGCTGCTGGCTTGGATATTACAGAAGCCCCAATCCCTTCCAAGGGAGTGATTAGTATATGCACAGTGCACAGTGAAAATGTCATTCTGTTTGTACATAAGAGAGCAGTTGTCTGTGCAGAAAATATGATGTTGATTTATGATTGATTTTACCATTAAGTGCAAAGATGATTGTTGGTTCTTCAGAGTACGAAAACAAAGAAGTATGGGGACTCTAGACAGGCTCTAGGTCCACCTGTTTGAACCCCTGGTCTCTCCCTAGGAGGTGCTGGCTGGAATATCTTTTTTCTTGTGCCCCCAACAGTGCAAGTGATATATAGGGATACAGGAAAGCTTTGGTTTTTTTGCTCAATTTTTTTTTTCCCTGCAGTAAAAGTGAGGGAAGAAAGTAAGCCATTCTGAGAGTTGAGGGCATTAGGTGAGAATGAGATCAATGCTGTTATCCCTCCGTGAAGTGTCTTATTTTATGTTTTCTCCATTCCCATTCAAACGTTAGCCAATCTTGACAGTATTTCAAAGGCTGCCATTAGCCATGAAATTTATGCTTCATGAGTAAGAGTCCTCGTGGATTGGAAGAAGTGTGAACATTATCTTCCTTTGGCCCTATTCTCTTGCCAGTATTGCTGCAGTTATTTTTTCTCATTTTCAACAATCAGAACAGAATATTCAGCTAGATCTCAGCTGATACATTTCTACATTCAGAATCATATTGTCATTTCTTTTCTATAATATTTCAATCGATCCACTCTTATTTAAACTTTTAGCTGTATTTTTTTTTAAAACAAAGGCAATTTGAGTTGAAATACTAACAATAGTGGAATAAGAGCTTACCCAGTAGGGAGGCATTTTTGATCAATCCCACTGTACTGTTTTAAATTTATTTTTTCAGTAGTGTTTCTGTACTCACTTCTGAATACCTGTGACACTTGGAGAATTGGAACTTGCATCATAGTGTCCATGATTTCTTTTCCAGGCTTTTTTTTGTTTCAAATAAGTACAAAAAAAATTAATTTGGAGATTTGGCCGAAGTATAGTTGAAAATAAATTATGGATGGAATGGGTTGTCATATTCTTGTTTTTAAATGAGCCATGGTCGATTACGAATCATCCTGGACATATACCGAAGGGACAGGCCCGGCGCGGGAAAATGCGGGGCCCCCTGCGGCAAAGACATTGGGACACCTCTGGGTTCCGGAGATTTGCCCCTCACTTCAATTTCAATTATCGTAGTTATATTGGGGGAAAAAAATGAAAGTCACTGCATTTTTATTAAGCAAGGAAAGGAGAGGAATTTGTGTAGGTTGTCCAAAGGTTTAGCGTTCGTATTCTCGGAACATTTGCTACCAGCTCATCGATCACTTGTAATTCAATGACCTGCTGATCTCCCTCTCGATAGAGAGTATGGCTTGTCCTGTCGGGCGTTCTTGTGACATGCTTAAGTTATAAATTGTTTCATTTTGAAGAAGCTTCTTTCTGCAGGTGCAACTCTCACTAGAGCTGTAACACTCCAAGAACGATGAACACGATAGGATACACGGGCCTGACTACTCTTGTGAATGAGTCGCGGAGTTCCAAGAGCATCAAGTGGCTCTGGTAGAAGCGTAGCCAGACTGCGAAGCTCATCGACAAGGTCGTTGAGCTATTGAGGTTAACCTTGGCAAAAGGTGTCTAATCATTGCACGGGTACCATCGATGATTAGGATTGTCACCCGTTCATCAATAGTATTGATAGTACATGCTTCAGACGCTTCGTAGATACTTCAAACTGGTCTCAATATGGACACTGTTTTGTCCATATTATAAACTTGTTGAGATTTTTTAATTAATAAAGCTTAATAGGAGCTAAAACGGCTTTTTTCTGTAAGTCAAAAGCAGCAGGCCACACCTCATAGTATCAATTGGCGTCTTTGCTTAGGGTGGCTCTGGGTATTTGTGGCATAGCCGCATAAACAAGTACCTCGTACTTCGAATGTTTGTGCATATTTATATGCGTCCACGTTTTGTTTAATTCACATGTGGCAACCCCTATCACTGACTCGGTAATGAATATGCAAGACATTTCACAACATGAGGAAGGGAGACAAGCGAGAGAAAGGGATGAAAATGAGATAGACCTTTCTTTGCGGACGTCTTTCTCACCTCGGGTACCAGCAAGCGCGAGGATTTCATGCGGGATGGAGGAATTAAAATTAAAATCTAAATCTAAAATATACTTTCCATGCATTGGGGTGGTGGCGGATTTCGCCCAGCTAGGCCTTCTCGCCTGTCCAGAGTAGGAAGACCTAGGAATATTCTCCGTCTCATTCAGAGCTTAGATCTCATTCGGAATAACTCGCAGCGTTTCAACGTCTTTCCTCTTTTGCTTTCGTTCTTCCTATCTGAATTATTATTTATTTCTTCATCAGCCCGCAGGGGTACTCGCGCCGGAAGGGAGCGCCAAGATGCCTACACCCACTGAACCACTCCTGTAGAATTTTGTTGCTTCTAGTCATCCTGTCTCTGTTACGAAGGATTGTAATTATGCCACTGACTCATGAAACCTTACTTCAACAAGCGAGATGATATTAACCCGAATCTCATAGGTCATATTCTTGACCTGGGATTTCTCAAAAGACAATAAGCTAGGCTTAAACCTAAGTCCACTACAGCCAGCCAAACCACGCGGAAAAAGAAGCGGCCAGGAAACTGTGAAGATGGACGGGGAAGTGAATGGAATGAATAGCGAACTAGTGGCACCAGGCCGTAGGACACTGAAAATTTTCTCAATGTACGCCGAAGATTCTTGATTTCAGCATCGGGCACCTCATCGCTTCCTGTTCAGGAGTTTCTTTCCTCTTCTGTCGCCGTCTCCCTTCCTCCCCGTGAAACATGTTTTATCTTAACTGACAGGTTATACCACGGGTTGATTGGGAGGCTCTGGACGCTGGCACACATTCTGCCCAAGGACTCCCGGAACCTTAATGTAACGAACCTACGACTCACATTGAAACTGGACTCGACGTAAGAGGCAAGGATTCCATTCTGAAAAGTGCCCCAGAGTTACGCCTCTGGGATGGCTGTGGCACGACTTTTGAGGTTCCCCAATAAAGAAGTGCCAATGAAATGGCAGATCTGTACCTGGAGTAGAACTCCAGATTCTTTTGCAACCGCATTTCGTGTAGTTTCAACACGTCTTCGATCGAGTTGAGGTCTGGTGATGCAGCCGGCCGATCGAGTTTTCCGACCCCATTCGCTGCTCTCCTTTCTTGGCAGCATCGACTCGCGCTTCGGGTCATCGTCTTTCTGCAGTTTCCGCGATGCCGATTTGGCATGGAATCGGTCCCTGGCTATCAGCCTGAGGCCGCGCTCGTAGATTTGGCACAGCGGTGCGGCGCCGAGGTTCTCTTAGAGCAAACGATGCGATGGAAGCCTCTGCTCGAAAAGCAACCCCACGCATTGACTTCGATGGGGTGCTTTACGATTAGGTTGACTTTCTTCCCGTTAGATTCCAGATGCGCTTCACCCGTTTCAGACGCACCGTTGTCACATCTGAGATCACCTGATCCCAATCGGTAGACAGGTGAGCTTCAGCCCGTTTCAAACTATCGTATCGATGGTCTTCGGAGAGCAGAGGCTTGGAAATCGGAAGGTTAAATTTCGCACCTGTTTCATTCGATCGGCGCCGAATGGAGTACTCGGGCTGATCTCGACCCCTTTCCTTTTCGAATGGTTCTCGATGTTGCGGCTCGCTGCGAACATTTATCGACGAGCGAAAGATCCGTTCATCCTGTTTTGCCGTCGTTGCACGCGGTCGGCCAAAACGAGTCAAATCAGTCAGATTTTGAATTCTTTGGATTTCGAATTTTGGATGGAACTTTGGATTCCTTTCATCGATCGTCACACTTGACGCTTTTGCCACATCCTCCAATCGGAGCTTTGGACCTTCGGATAGCTAGAGAGGAAGATGATTTCGTAACGCCGATGGATGGGTAAAGCTATGTCTCACGAGTGATTATCGATGCTAACCCACACGGAATGAATACTGACTCATCGACACTCGGCCAACGCTGCCTATTCATAGTGGCCTCATGGAAGTTCCAGAATTTTCTGGGGGTGTGAGGCTTTTTACGAGTACTGTACCTGTGTTATGAAAAAATAAATAAATTCCAACGCTGAACCACAAATGGTCCTCGAGATATTCCACTCCAAAAATACCCCCGGGGGGAAAAGTGACCCCATGGATCAAGCGGATATCTTTGACCCTAATTGAGGTAGAAAGAGTTTTTGGACTTAAATTAAAGCTGAGACAAAGCTGAATATGATTTTACTGGTGAAATGTTCTACCGAAAATCCTAGCAATGGTCATATAACAAGGTCTGCGTATAATTCGAGAAAGACCTATGAACAGGAATAGTTCCTTTTTCTCCCTTTGCGAGAAGAACCTCGGTTTCAAGGAACAACGAATTAAGGTGTGAGTGAGAGAGTGGAATTACCAGTGCCCGTAATTATTCCTTTTCTTCTTTTCTCGTTTCAGACCAGGTACGCGCATTGAATGAAATGTCCGAGTTATTTTAGTACTGTTTAGAGTTGTCGCATCGAGTACAGTCGGATCACTTCACCAGGTTACAGCATTTAGACCTGCATGTTGATTTACGCTTGCTTGGAAAAGACACTCCAGCAGCTACAGCTGCTACTTCGACATGTGAATGAAAAAAGCCACCCGGAAAAAGACCCCCTAATTGGTATAGTAGGAAAAAAGACACCCGAGATGAAAACATAGAAAAGCTATAAGTTTATAAAGTTTAAGCCTGCTTTTTAATACCCTAATTAGACGGGGGGAAAACTCTTAATCTTGTATATTTTGCGTAGACTCATCACGCTATTGACGCTTGCAATTCACATTTAAAAATTCAAATTTGTGTCTGACATTGTGGTTTATGCACAGGATGCTGTAGCATTCAATAAATTAAACTATAGTTGGGGTTAAACAAATTGCCCTATATTCAATCGTAGAGCATCAAATAAATACCCCTAGATGTGTTTCTTTTTATACAAATTTAACTAGGATCTTTAATGTTTTAATTCGAATTTCATGAGGAAAAATATGAAGGATTTGTTGTTTTTTTTTTTAAGAAACAGGAAAAGATCAAATAAGATTATCCAGGAAGCAAGTATAAAGAGTCTTCTTCATTATTCTGCTTAACAGCCTGGTTGCTGTTTTTATGACTTTTCCCACGGAAAGTGAGGAAAAGGTCAAGGGTGGCTTTTCTCTTCTTTTATCAACTCTGGAGGTCTTTTTTTCCGGATGCCTTTTCCCTTAAACCCATGAAATCTTCCTATCTCTGGAAGTCAACCGAACTACAGATTCAAGTCACTGGCAGGTACTTGTTGAATTCGATGTCGCATGACAAATGTACACCAACTGTATCGCTCTACCAGGTTCCGCAATTTTTCTTACCACATATACAGATCTTGTTTAAAATAATTTGAGTACTGCATGGTACTAATTTCTGAATCTTATAATTAGACCGATTCTTCTTGATTGTTTTGCAACATTGGGCAGGTATTTGTGATGATGTCGGTGACGATTCGATCGTCATCGAGGTAGTGCTACCAAAAAAACAGGCCGGCTTCCGCCGAGGCAGAAGCCGCTGCGACCGAGTCCTTACCCTAAAGTCGATCGAGGCCGGTTTCCAGAGGAAACAAAAAATGGACACCGTGCCGATCGGCCTGTCTTCGGCGTACGATGCGGTCTGAGGGTAAAGCTCCTTCTCGAGACACCGAGAGTCACGAGATGCGGAAGCACCATACCGCCTTCTTGCAGCCATGCTAAGCGACTGTCGATTTCTGCGTCCACCCCAACGGACTGGTCGGCAAGGTATGCACCCTCGATCGTGGTTTCCCACTAGGATCCGTACTGGCTCTTCGCTCTTCGACGTCTACTCGAGCGGCATGCGGACGCGGTTTACAGAAAGTTCACGTACGCGATGATATTTCACTCGCGGGGCAGGGACAAAATGTCGTGCCGTCAGCGATAACCTCATCGCCGACCTCCAGATCACAGCGGACTGATTTCGCCTCTGGAAACTCC